GGGTTTTCTTAAGCTGGACTCTCGCTCTATCATCCTGGCTGGAGTGCAATTAATAATTATTCCAAATTGAGTGTTGTGCAAACATACTTGTGTGTCCAGATGTTCACATTTGAAAGACGCTCTCCTTTTTTTTTTTGAGACCTTGTCTCACTCTGTCGCCCAGGCTGGAGTGCAGTGATGCCACCTCTGCTCGCTACAACCTCTGCCTCCCAGGCTCAAGTGATTCTCGTGCCTCAGCCTCCCAAGTAGCTGGGATTATAGGCATGTGTCACCATGCCTGGCTAGTTTTTATATTTTTAGTAAAAAAAAAAAGGGGTTTCACCATGTTGGCCAGGCTGGTTTCGAACTTCTGACCTCAAGTGATTCACCCACCTCGGTCTCCCAAAGTGCTAGGATTACAGGCATGAGCCACCATGTCCAGCCAACTCCTTGAGTTTTAACGTTCAATTTACTTTAATATACTTTTTATCTAATATTTATAATTAATTATGTGTGTATGCAGAAGCACCCAGCAATTTGTACATATGGTGAAAAGAAGTTGTGTGGCAGCTGGGAGATGAATCAGGCTAAAAACCATAAATCTACTGCCTTTAGGCCAAAATGCTGACTGAAGGAGGAAATGACTGTAACATGACAACTGCCGTCAACCAAAACAGCATGTCACTCATGGCGATGTTCAGCACCCTGGCTGGCTGGAGACCTTTTCCAAACCAACTCCATCAGAGACTTCAGAAGAGGAAATACATATATTTTAGTTTACCTGCTTTCTTTAACGAAAAACACTTGTTTACTCAAAGAATAACTACACGTGAAATCTGAATTGAATTGATTAGAACACTGCAATTTATTCTAAAGATCATTTAGGTAAACAGACCATATGTGGTTTTTACTAAGACCCAAGATTTACAAATATCAAACCATTATCACTATTTTATAATGATCACTATATTTGAGAAAAAAGTATCAACAAAAGGAGGGTAATATTTATTTTTAGCACAACATCCTCTGTTTTAGGCAACTGCTTTTCAGGAGAGTTGTCTACAAAGCAGACCATATAAGGAGTTATCCTCCAGAAAGATAAAAGGTGCAATTTCAGATATGAGATAGCCAGAGCTGCCCAAATACGCCTCTACCCTAACCTCTCAAATCACAGAGTTTCTTTTTCTATAATCACTTCTCCCTCCACTGAAGGGCCCATGCTGCAGTGGGAGTTGGCTGAAGATTGTGCACATATGGAAAGCAGAGTCACTGTCTTTAGCTGGGAGTGTGTAATCACCAAACATAGGCCTCAAATTAGAAGTAACGTAAACCACAATTTCCAACTGGAGTGCAATGGCACAATCTCGGCTCACTGCAACCTCCACCTCCCGGGTTCAAGCAATTCTCATGCCTCAGCCTCCTGAGTGGCTGGGACTACAGGCGCATGCCACCAGGCCCAGCTAATTTTTTTGTATTTTTAGTAGGGACAGGGTTTCACCATGTTGGCCAGGATGGTCTCAATCTCTTGACCTTGTGATCCGCCCGCCTAGGCCTCCCAAAGTGCTGGGATTACAGGCGTGAGCCACCACGCCCGGCATATCTTGCTTTCTTAGACACATAACATTTCCAGCAATTTGAGGAGCATTATGGCATTCGTTTTAAGAGGGACACGTTTTAGGACAGTTTAATTAAATGCACCACCACTGATTTAATTCCAATATTCTTTAAAGAATGGGCATGAGCATCTCAAACTTATAAGGCTTTTAGTAATCAGGCCCTCCATGTTTGTAAAATTCCCATCCCTTTTTCTTTCTTTATTCTCTTTTTTCTTTTTTTACTTTTTCTTGCCTGTTCCCGATACTTTTCTTGCCTATTCCCGATACTTTTCTTGCCTATTCCTATTGCCTATAGTGGGGAGTAGAATTCTGTGAGTCAGTTCAATAAGTGAGAATTTGCAAATTCTTAAACTAAATTAAGACCATGGGAAAAACTAGGAGAAGATAAAAAGGGTTCTGTAAAGAGTCTTACAAGTGGACAAAAGTAGGACAGATTTTTTTGGGATGTGTAATAAATGCTTAGACTAAAATATAAAATGACTGCATGTATTTTTAAAGTATATAATGTGTAAGCAAGCATTCTAGACAAGAGGTGGCCATTTCTTCTTTGTTTATATTTGTTAAAGAAAACAAACACAAGGAGAATGAATAAATCTAGATAAAAGAAACATATTACATTAGAGCTGAACTTTTGTTTTCTGTGATCTAAGTTTTCACCAGTATTATTTTATCATTTTCTGGAAAAGTTTCCATACAATGAAATCATGTTTCTAGTAATTATTTCTCAGGAACTTGAGTATCAAGGATGACTGTTTCAGGCTGCTGTGATTCTGATAATTTAAATGTTTAAACAAGGTTTCCCATCCACGAAACCATGATCTGTGTTCAATATGAATTCAGACCCCGTGAATTACAGGATCTCACGTTGGACACTTGGCTCTTCTCTCAGTCTCCAAGGGATAGCCAGGTTGGATTTCTGGAAACACACTGTATATGAGTGTTGGGGGTTCTGCACCACTGGAGGGAGAGAAGGGGCTAAAAGACCCCCACCTGTTGCCTAGATTCTCTCTCTGCCTCACGACCTCACCATTGATGTTTGAATCACATGCACCCACACTGCTTCCTCTAATACTGTACTCTGTGGTGTCAACAAATTAATATGTATACACACACATATCTCTATATATTGACAGGTGTGTGTGTGTGTGTGTGTGTATTTTTGGTTTGTTTGTTTTAATGGCACCACCTTGGACTATGTTTAGGGAGAACAATTACTTCTTCCTAGTTTATCTCTCTGTCTCCTCTCTCCAGCTAGCTTCTGCTAACTCCAAGGTCACTTCCAGAAGGTCAAAGGGCCTGATAACATCCTCCCTACCTTCCTGGTTTTCTGAGAACCAAGAAAAGTAACTGAAAATCACTTCCAACATCCCAGTGACTCAAGGGTCAGTTCTGTTACCTCTCACCAAGCCTTCCCTACCTCCCCACATACTCACTTGTGTATCCCCCTTATCGGTCATGTTAAAACTGGAGAGGAATAAAGTTAATTCTCTCTCTCTGAAAAAGGTTTATGACAAGTCAGTTAATGAATAAATATATCTTAAAGTTGTTTAGGAAAAAATGACATAAAATGTATTCAATATGGCAGTCTGCTAATAACTTGGTAATAAAAAACTAAGGATCTTTCAGCATGTTACACTTTAAATGATTTATTTTGCTTTAAGACCTCATATTTCAGTCTTTTAGAGGAAAGAGATATTTAAACGTTAATATTTCCTCCTACCACCCACATCGTTTCACTCTCAACACACGCACACATGCGCGTGCGCGCGCACACACACACACACAGTGTCCTCTGAAGAAAGAGACAACCTGCATAACCTGCTGATGATTGCACCAGGAAACAAACTTGTCAGTTATGCAAACAACTGTAAACTTCCAAATAAAAAAAATACTGCACAGAATAGTATAATTTATTTTCTATATTCTAAGTTTTATAGTACTTTTAAAAAGTATTATGATTTAGTATTAAAAACTCAAAGATTTCATATGCAGTTTAGTTGACACAAAATCAGAATTTTTTAGTCACTGGTTCTAAGGTTTAATAATCCCAAAATTTTTTTTGTTTTATATTTTTTTTAAATGAAGTTTTTATTTTTTTTATAAGTTGACATTCAAAAGTAAACATAATTTATGGACATATTGCAAGTTTCTTTTCAGAAAGCAGAATTTAAAGGGTTCACCTGCAGCTCTAAAAACAAAGCCAATTAATATGCCAGGCTCCTTTCTTCCACCAAAAATAATGGAACATTTGCATAGAGCAGAACTAGGAAGCTAGTCTCGTTCATCAGCTTATTATAATGCCTCCTGACAGCCTCACACACTGCCTCATCAACATCATACTGTTTCAATTACACATATTTTTGCCCACTTCACGTGTTACGCCATCTTCACTTCTATCTCACCTCAAGCTGCAGTATAAAATTGAACTGCATTTTTACAAGCATAGATGGATTCTCTGCAAGTCAGAAACCGAATCATTAACATTGTATTGTTCCAGGCCACAAAAGAAAGGGGAAAATGTGGGAGGGAAAAGAACCATGGTGGATTTTAAAGAAACAAATAATCCCTCCCCACAAAAGCCTGTCCCTCGGAACCAACAGCAGAAAGAATGAAGAATTGGCTGGAGCACGGTATGGGGTCCCTCTTGCCAAGGAAATGGAAATTGTCTTTTTAAGAACCACTGAAGCCTGCTCACTCCCCTGTGATCATCCTACCAGTCTGCTCCACAGTGCAAGAGTAAGGAAGCAAGGTCTTTGATTTTGCCAGCAAACTATAGAAAAACAAAATAAAGACTGGGCTTGAAAAGATGAGCTTTAATTTAGCGAACACCATAGAGATATATCCCAAGACAACTGCCACCTCACATTTTAAAAAATGTCTTCCATTTGGATCATGAAGAGAAATGTAGATAAAGGAAAATAATTCCAAAAGAACATGGCTCTTATTAAGAAGCTCTAGAAAACCTCTAGCCAGAGTAAAGGAAAACACCTTTGTATCATTACAGAGTGCATCTTTCAGAAAGAATCATAATTGCATGAATATGTAGCATTCAGAGAGCTGGGTGGAGAATAAGTTTTCATAGCAACAGGGCAGGTTGGAAATCAGATGTAACAGATTTTTTGGTGTTTAGATGATTTAGGGAAACTTCACATTACCTTCCTCTCAAATTGACATTTCATCCCGACTGGTTAATTACCATTTTTCTGTTTCAGCAGCAAAAAGGTCCAAGTAATGCAGTTGCAGCTGAATTGTCTTTATATAACTCCAAAGTGTAATTTTTGTGTCTTCTCAGCCCCTGTTTATGTTTAACATAAAAAGTACAACCAGCCTTTTAGCTCACAGACCCTAAGCCTTACATTAAAATCTGTAAAAACTGGTAATCCTGCCCTGCTTTCATTCTCACAGGGCTTGACCATGTCTGAACAGATGGGACAGTTTGAATGAGAACAGCATGCATCTCCAGAGGTTCTCTGCATTTGGGTGGCAGCTTTACATACCATCAGGACGTTTGCCTCCATTTAGCTTGGAAGCACAGGAGACCTACTGAAGAGTAGTCACTCACTCTGCAAGGCTTGAAGGATTATTCAGCCCTCTGAAAATAATTCCACTACGATGTAACACTTTTTTAAATCACTGCCAAATGTATTTAAAAATAAGTAATGTTGCCAATAGCTGAAGCCTTCAAATATAGAAATGTTCATAACATCTGATACGGTTTGGCTGTGTCTTCATCCAAATCTCATCGTGAGTTGTAGTTCCCATAATCCCCACCTGTGGTGGGAGGGACCCAGTGGGAGGTAACTGAATCATGGGGACAGTTTTCTTCATGCTACTATTGTGATAGTAAGTTCTCATGAGATCTGATGGTTTTATAAGGGGCTTCCCTCTTCACTCAGCCTAATTCTTCTCTTTGCTGCTGCCATGTGAAGAAGGACATGTTCGCTTTCCCTTCCGCCATGATTGTAAGTTTCCTGAAACCTCCCCAGCCATGCTGAACTGTGAGACAATTAAACCCCTTTCCTTTTCAAATTACCCAGTCTCAGGTATGTTTTTATTAGCAGCATGAGAGTGGACTAACCCAACACCTTACATTTTAACGACATATTATTTTGTTTCCACTATGCTCTATTTATTGTGAGTCTACTAAGGGCTAGATTCTGTGATTAAATAGAGACCAAAACACTGTGGGCACTGGGGGAAAGCAGCATTAATTAACTATTAGGCAAGTGGTGAAACTGCAAAAGTAATAAAAGCTGCAAAGGAGAGATAGTTACTTGAAGTTCTGAGTCCCTTCTATAAGGGAGCTTGACCTGGTCAAGGAGGTCTTGAAATTAGAGTGGGTTGATCTGAAGGATAAGTAGGAGTTGACAAGACAATGAGGGGTAAGAAGAGCATTCCCAGAAGAGGAAACAGCATGTGCAAGGGCCCTATCATGTGAGGGAGTATGCTGAGCACAAAGAATGGGACACAGTTTGTGAAAAGGCCACCATGCCTAGAAAACAAGAGTGAGCAGGGTGAAGGATGAGACCAAAGAGAAGACAGACACCAGGTCTTGCAGGTCATGTTAAGGGGTAGGAGACAGGAGAAAGAATAATATTTGAAATATTTTCAGGAGGTGACAATAACTGACGTTTTGTAAAGATCAGTCTGGCCGAAACTGTAGAGAACAGAGTGGATGGGGCAAACGTGGATTTGGGTAGATGAGTTGGGGGGCTACTGTGTGCAGCAGGCTGAGCAGCAGTGGGTGGTGAGAGGGGCACATAAAGGGTTTTTGGTGTAGCCCAATGCAGGATGGACATATGTGTTGCCCCACTCTTTATTTGCAGACACCCTTTCTCCACCCTCCACCCTGCTGCCTGAATAGTCTTCGCAAAGTACAGTTTTCGACCTGTCATTTTCCTGTTTATGTCCCTTTGCCATGTCCCCACAGCAACAGGCTCAGTCTATGCTGACACTCAGGACGGACAACCAGAGCCCAACCTATTTTTGAGGTGCTTTTCTACTTCCTATCTGTGCAGAGCCCCACTCTGTCCAAAGTGGTTGACTTACCTTCCTGCTGTTGTTTATGTCCTTCAACCCACTTGGGGATACCTTGGCCTCCTGCTGTCCTGCTCTTACACTTTGGAAAAGGCCTGAATTTATCTCCCATCTCTGTCCTCCCTGTCTAAATCCTGCCCATCCTTTCCCTCCAGCTTAAACCCCTTTCATTAAGAATTCTCAGGCCACTGCAGTCCAGTACAGATCTCTCAAATTCTACCATATGCATTTTCTGCTTTGGCAATTAATCATGCCTTGTTTGGCTATACCAAAATGTTAGTTGATAATAGTAATTTTTTTTAGTTTTTCACATGTGTGTGCTTTATCTCTTAATCTAATTCATAAGGCATTGGTGGCAAGTGCCATACTGTCTATTTTTCTGTGCCTTTCTTAGCACCTGCACAATGCTACATATATAGTTAGGTCTTCAGTGACAAAGTATTGCTTCAAATTTGCTCTGAGATGTGCTTTATCTTTGCCCAGGTCATCAGAGGAGGATTACACATAATCTATTTAATCAGACTTGCAAAATTTATGGAGTAACATATATTAGCTGGTAAAACTGCCAGAGTAATTTTTAACCAGAATCTCTACTGATATGTCTGGATTTGCCAAAGAAAAAAGAGATTTCAGAGTGACAAAAGCAAAAAACCAGGATTCAAATCCTTACGTTCAAAGAGATCTTGATCTAGTTCTTCATTTCTCTAAGACTCTGGGTCCTCATCTGAAAAATGGGGATAGTTGTACGATAGAAGACCATATATAAAGATACAATACAAATTTGAGTGAGCACCTGGCCAGCCGTCTGGTCACTGGTATTCAAAATAAGTGAGTATTTTCTCCTTGAGTCTTCCCATTACCTCTACTCTAAGGCACATGCACCCATGCACGCATTTTCACACTCATCCACGCATGCACGCACACACACACGTGCACACACACACATATGTACATGCACACACACAAAACTTCTCTTAATCCATCCTTTAGTCCCCTATTGTGACTGAATTGACTTGACTTCTCAAATCCATTATCTTTTTTCTTTTTGTCTCTCTTTTCTTCTTTCTCCCTCTTCTTATTTTGATGAACACCTAACAATAAGATGTTGGATATTACCATTGAAAAAAATATATACCCACTATTGACAATCCTTTCAATTCACCAGTGACATTACTGAATGTAAACAGGAAGGGTAAGAACTTCTACCAAATTCCCTTCCTATTGTTCAATAAGCAAACATTTCTGTCCTGAGCCATTAATCCCCCTATTGTATTCTCTTCCCAACAGTCTAACCGAGAGAGATTAAAAATCGAGAAAAAAAATAGTTGAGAGATTAAGAGATATGGACAATTCGGGCTCACAAAAAGTCTCCGAATGCCTAAGAAACAGGAAAAGTTGGCCTTTCTCATTAAAATCTATTTGAATCAGCGCAATGTCTGAAGGCATTACGTAATGTTTATATGTAGGCTTTGTATATTTGAGATGTGGTAAGATAGTCAAAACAAGATTGCCCTCAACTGATATTAGCTTCTCTAAATGCCTCAACAATGACTATCCCCTTAAGAACTGTAGGTATGCAGGGCATTCAACATGTATCAGGGGCTGTAAGAAACAGACGAATGCCAGCCTGTTCCAACCCTCAATATCTATTAATCACTTTTTAGACGGGCACTATTTTATGTCACATGAAGACAAGTGAGCACTGCTGTCGGTTGTTTACCAAGACTCTAGAACAAAGTCCACTTTGGCGGCTTTCCGCCTTAATTTATTTTTAATAATGCACACTAATTGCTATGTATCATTGGCAGTCAGCTATAAATCTTTCTCATTAAAAATAATTCCCCTATATAAAAGTACAGGGATGAAATAAGTGGTATTTCCAATTCAAAGAGTTCTTTTTTACTGATTTGTGTGATTCTAACCTTTGGCCATATTAAAAAATAAAACCCTCAAAATTTTAGCAAAATTGACACAACCTTTGAAAAATATATGTGAAGTTGCCTGAATCTGTTTGAGTCTTTCCTTATTATTATTTTAAAGAGTTCTCTAGTTTCTTTAAACCTCTGACATGAAAAAGTGAGTGTTCTATACAGATGGAAGAGGTCTGGTCAGTACTTAAGAAGCTGACTAACAGGGGTTTAGCTAGCTCTAAAGTGATTCCTATTAGAATGAAAAATAAATAGACTAAGTGCCAAACTCAAAACTATTCTCTTACAGAGATAAACTGTAAGTGCTCTAAAGAAAGTGAAAACAGCTCTCTGGGGAATGCTTGGGATTTGGGCAAAGGAACAATGCAACTGTTTCTGTAAGTCAATTGGAAATACCGGGGCTAGGGATGGGGGATTTGAAGGAGTTATGACAATGGGAAAAAGAGCCGCCAGAGGGTGAAGTTGAAGGTTTGGCTCCCATTTAGGTTTAGTTCACTGATCCGGTAGACAAACATCACATCAGTTTTGCAATGAAACAAACAAACCTCATGATGAATGTGGACTAAATTTGTAACAGAGAGGCTAATTATATTTTTAAAGGCTTCGACAATATATAAACTATCACCTGCTCTTTAGGATTAATAACACTTCAATGCTTCAAGAAAAATGGGTTTCTTAAACATGACTAATAATTTCTAAACCCTGCCTTTGGAAAACCTATATGATACAATAATTAACTGGGCTTTTCTAATTTCTATAACAATGCTGAAAATGATTCCTGAAAAAGTACAGATCAAAAGTGGATACATGATTTATTCCTCTTTTCCTTCAATATGAAAAAGCTAAAATTGACTTCAAATGGATTCTCTGGAAGTAATAACTACACTCTAACAAGAGATTCCAATAAATCGAAGATGCCTATCTATTTTGAACAAAAATCCAGGAAGAAAACTCATGACCCACTCCAGAGCAATCTGAGCAACTTTTTCAATCCTTAGAGCACAAACAAGTCCAAGCCTGAATTTTCGACCTGGCACTACACTTGCATATAATTTAGTAAAAAATAAAAATGATTGCATGTTCTCTCAATTTTAACTCCAATGCATCTGATAGAAAAATGTCTCCGCTTAGGAGATACCAGTATGGAATCCCTCAGACAGAGGGCAGAAGCTGATTAGCAGGAGAATGAGATTCCTCAGGAGACGAGTCCGTGAGCCTCCACTTTTATCAATGATTGTATACTTTACATGTGGACAAAGAAAGTGGATTATCAATTGGGAGAAACTCTGACCCAATGCAGCTGCATGTGTTTTTTTCAGAAAAATTTAAAAATACTGGCAGTAAGAATTAATGAGTGAGTAGGCAAAGGAAGTAAAAATAAAACTCAGTAATATAAAATGATAATAACTTACGTGATATAAGGAAAAAACAGAACACAATATGGCAATAAGGAAGAAGTATACAAAAGAGGTAGAAACAAGGGCCAAACCCAGGATGTTAAATAAACCTTGCATTTTTGCCTCATCTTAAAAGATCTTTTAACTTCTGAATTTTCCCCAAAGGGAGGCTCAGTCAATAACATGTAAAAATCTGAAACCTGAGCTACTCCTCTAAGTATTTATTGAAGTGACAATTATTTTAGGAATTCTACATTGTGGTAACAAGCTCCATGCTTATAGCTTTTCCATACTACACAAGATGAAACTGTAAACCAAATATTTACTGCACCCATACTATGAATGTAATTTTTTAAAAAGCTACTTAAATCACCAAACTTTATTTATTGAAAATTCATTTGAAGGGTCTTATTCAATATTTTTGTGCATGTTACCAAGCCAAGACTGAGCAAATACATGGGAGTATGTCTTCATGTAGGAAGAACTTTAGCACTCACACAAAGTACATCCTGTGTTTCCCTATTGATGATGATGTCCCTTTTATCAGTAAATATAACTGAAACATGTGCTTTGACCACTCAAGGCCTCCTTACTTAGTTTCTCATTCTCAGGGGTATTCAAGTTAGTCTACCTCATCAAGTTATGAATTATTTTCTGACTGCTGCTGTCCCTGGATTTCTTCTATACCAAGTTGCTTTTATATTAGATTCAATATCATTCATTTCAGTAAAAAGCTATTTCTGTAATCCCAGCATTTTGGGAGGCAGATAACAAGGTCAAAAGATTGAAACCATCCTGGCCAACATGGAACCCCTTCTTTACTAAAAATATAAATATATTTATATATATATTTATATTTTTAGTATAAATATATATATTTATTTATAAATAGATATATATATAAATATAAATATTTATATATATATAAGCAAAACAAAAAAAACAATTAGCTGGGCCTGATGGTGTGTGCCTGTAGTCCCAGCTACTCAGGAGGCCGAGGCAGAAGAATCACTTGAACCCAGGAGGCGGAGGTTGCAGTGAACTAAGATCGCATCACTGTATTTCAGCCTGGGAGACAGAGCAAGATTCTGTCTCAAAAAAACAAAATATGTTCATAAACATGAAATTAATATTCTTATTTAAAAGATGAATTTTACGCTGTAACACACTGATGAACATGTGGAATTGTTACATTTATCCAACTTCA